AGGACCCGGAGGCCCGCAAAACCAAACTGGCGGCCGAGTTGGCCAACGGCCGCCTGGCCATGATGGCAATCATCGGAATGTTTTTCCAGGACATTGCGAGTTGTTGCCGTGCGGCATGATTTTTCCAAGCGATGCTGCTGCTGTTTCCGTTTGAGCCCTGAGTGCCTGTATTGAATCGAACTTTGCAGCTGTAAGAGTCCACAGGTTTCAATAGCAAGGTGACCGGTCCCAAGCCAATCCTCAACTTGACAATCCCAAACTTGCTCTCGGTAAGAACAGGCCTGACCGTTCGCGACTGCTCTTCAGCTTCGCACAGACTTCGAGATGTCCGGTCATTGTCAGGTGAGAGTGAAACACTGCTGTGAAGATGATATAACCCGTCGAATTGACAAGGCGCGAAAAGCGTTTTGGAGACTTGCGTCTAGTGTATGGGATGTCAAGCAACTGTCTCTTTCAGTCAAAATGCGGGTGTACCGAGCATGTGTTATTGCAGTGCTGTTGTACGGATGCGAAACTTGGACAACAACTTTTCAGTGTCCAAAGAAGCTTGAACAATTCCAGATGATGTGCCTCCGTAAAATAACCCAAATTGGCATGTGGGAGCAGGAACGAATGCACATCAACAACAGTAAATTACGCGACTGGCTCGGAGTACCGACGGTGTGTGATATGATCGTACAAGCTCGCACTCGGTGGTTGGGACGCGTGGCGCGTATGAACAACAAGCGATTGCCCAAGCAGATGCTTTTTGCATTTTTTCCTGGTAGTGTGGGAGTCCCTACACAAGTCGGTCGTCGCAGTGGAAAATGGGTAGCATCCCGCTTCTGACGGTACCAAAGAGCAGTCACGGAGTGCACCCTTGCGTACCGTGAAACGAACTTTTGGGGAAAACGTTAAGACACAACAGGAATGGTTCCAGCAGGAAACTTTCACTACCGGGGTGTTACAGGCTGAGCAACGCATGGTGTGGGGATGCACTTTTCACGAGTTTTATTCGAAGTATGGCGACTCGTGGATGGACATGAAGGATGAGGATGTTGTGGTCGACATGACAGCGGAGTGGGATGATTTGTTGACGGTTGAGGCGGATCTCGGGTTGATGGCTATGCTCGTTTGCGCTGCGTGCTACAAAGTTGGCATTTCTCACGGGAACCGCAATCATCACAAACCAATGCTCGTCGGCGTTTGATTGGAAAACAATCCGTGTTGCCTGCTAGAGGGTGGGGTGGAACTTTGTCTGAGGATCCCGGTTCTTGGAGGAGCACAGATCATTGCCTTCTGCGGCCTCATCGAGACCACGGGCTTCTTCCAGGCATCGTCCACCACGGATGGCCGTGGCCCTCGCGAGGGTCAGTTCTCCATGAAGGACTCCACCGAGTCTGCCGAGCGCATGCGTGAGAGACCCCTCCCAGAGGGGCATGCGGGCCACCATTGGTGGTGCGAAGTTCTCTCAGAGATCTGCTGCCGTGTCATCTTCCTTTTCTTCTTCATTGGCAGCATTGTTTGCAATTCGATCGGGCATGCGGTTAGGGGCTGCCCGAGTTACCTGCAGTACGAGGGCTTTGGTGATGGCCGCGTTTTCTTCTCCAAGTTCTCCATTGGCCTCATCTGTGCAGTGTGGGCATGCTGGTTGACGCACTGGCATGCCTGGCTTCGCCGTCGCTTTGAGTGGGAAGGCGTTTCGCCTCTTCTTCCTTTACCTGCTGCTGGGCTTTGGGTGCTCGGTGGCTGGCTTATTCTTTGCCTTTTGGCCCTAGTGATGGAGGGCTACTTCGAGGTTCGTGCTGTGGGAGCATGGGCCCGCTTTCGCCGACGAGGTGCCAGTGTTCAGGCTGGCATTGCACATGTTGGGGATTCTCCGGATTCGAGTTCCTCAGATCATGGCGTTTCAGTTCCACAGCCGGTTGTTGGTTCTCTGGCTGTCAATCCTTATGCTTTTCATCGGGTGCTTGCTTGATCGGCTCGTCTGGCCGGCTCCACCCGACTTGCTCGGAGCTGGAAGGGTGCGCGGCTGGGTCGCCGTGCCTCGGCCCAGCCCTGGGCTCTACGTTGTCGAGGGCGTGTTCGACTTCCTCGTGGTCGGCATCCCTCTGTTTGTGCCTTGGTGTGTACAGGTGAGCGGCATGCTTGTCAATATGGCGGCGAACCTCTCCAGGATGGTTGCAGTAGTGGTGCCCATGCCACCATGAATGATTTTGTCGGCGTCGACTGTGATTTGGATCAGTGCATTTCGCCTGATCTCGAAGGAGTTGGAGATGGTGTGGCTGATGATGGAGCTGGGGCTTGCTATGCTTTGGCTTGGTGCTCTGATCATGGTGCCGGTGGAGGGTCGGCTGTTGGAGCCTGTTCATGTGGGGCCGGAGGTGTTTTGGCCGAGCATGGTGGTGGAATCGGGGCCGGAGGCGCTTTGGCTAGTGGATGCGGCGCTCTGGCGGAGGATGGAGGGGGAGCTGGGGCCGGAGGTGCTTTGGCTCTGGATGGCGCTATTGACCCTCTTCGTGGCGGTGCTGGCCGCTCGGCTGCTATGGGAGGTGGTCCGCGCATTTCGCTGGGCCTTCGCGGCCATACTGGAGATTATGTTGCTCGGGCAGCTCATGATGGGGCTGGAGGGGGCGATCCACCTTGGGCGGGCACCCTTGCTGCGCTCCCTTTCGCCAGGGTGCTTGACAACGACTTCCTCGGGTGCGGGCCCTTGCCTGCCACTTCTCCTAGCCGCATTCGGAGGATCGATTACGCTGTGTCTTCCAGAATGGTCGCTGCCACTGAAGTTTGCGCCTTTTGTGGTTGTGCCGATCATCTTGGGACTGCTTACAACCTTGACCTTGAGGCTTTGTCCCGCCCGCTCGCCTTGCTTTGGCTGAGGTGGAGGTTGATGAAGCGAGGTGGGCCCGCATCTGGCGTGCCAGAGCTCGCAGCTTTCGTGAAGCTTTGAAGGTGGACTCCACTTGTGCCTGGGAGCTCCTGTCTGCTGCTGCTGAGGAGGCGCTCGCAGGTGAGCGGGTTGAGGCTGGCCCCTGTGTGGTGCCACGGCATGCGCTTTGGAGTCCTAGACGTCCCCGGGACAAGCATCGGGCCGCGGCGGGCACCGAATCTCTCCTTCTGGCGTCTCCATCGGCGGCTGGCTCATCTTGCTCGGGTGCCCTCTGACACTCCTTTGATTCGCAAGGTGCGGTGCGATCTTCATTTTGCTGCTGAGACCTTTCCGGAGCTTCGCGTTTTCGCTGACGCCAATCCGCTTGACGCTTTGGAGTCGGTTGCCGGGATAGTTCAGCTTGTGGCCGATGACGAGAAGCGGGCGGCCCTGCGGCGCTGGCTCGCCACCACTTCGGACGACTTTGGTGCTCAATGCTCCTGGGTGCGCCGCCGCTGTGCTTTGGAAGAGGCCGTGTGGTTGCTGCTCCTACGGAGGTGCTCAAACAGGCCGAATCAGAGTGGTCTCCTCGCTGGACGGCTCGCCGCGATCGTTCTGACGCTGCTGTGCTTCATGCTCTTCGTGCTCTCCCTGAGATTCCTCAGCGTGCGTGGCAGGTCACTTTTGACGGCCCGGGTCTTCGAGGCATGGCTCAGTCCATGAAGGGCAAGGCCCCGGGGGTGGACCAGTGGAGGGCAGAGGAGCTGTTGCTCTTGCCGCCTCCTTTCTGGCAGTCATTAGCTGAACTTTGGCAGAGCATCGCTGACAGAGGCGACGTACCGCGCCCTTGGCAGAGAGTGCGCATTGCCTTGTTGCCCAAGCGGCAGGGAGGCACTCGTCCTCTTTCGCTCCTCTCTGTTGTTTGGAGGCTGGGTGCTAAGCACATGTTGCACCAGCTCGATGCTTGGGTGGGCCAGTGGCTTGATCACACTTCCTGTGGCGGTGTGCCGGCCCGCTCTGGCAAGGATCTTGTCTACCAGCTCTTGGCTGGCATGAGGGAGCATCCGCACTCGGCTGTTGTGGCTCAGGACTTGGCCAAATACTTTGACGCCATTGACGTCAGAGATTTGATGGTTGTGCTTAGGCGTCTTGCCGCGCCCCCCCAGCTCGTTGCAGTGGTTCAGGCGCTGTACGATGGTCAGGAGCGCCTGTTTAGCCGATCTGGCTTTCTTTCGGGAAGCTGGGTCCAGGCTTCCAGAGGTTTGTGTCAGGGCTGCCCGCTCAGCCCTTTGCTGGCTGCTGCAGTGCTTCGTGGGTGGTCGGCGCTCCTTGGCACGGCGGGAGCGCGGGCCGCCTCCTTTGTCGACGACAGGTACTTCTGGGCAAGCAGCCCCGGCGCCCTTCGATCGGCTAAGGCCCTTAGCGACGAGTACGACGCTGCCTTTGGTTTTCAGTGTGACAGCAGGAAATGTGCCATCGCGGCGTCTTCGACCTCTCGAGCATTGCTGGTGAGGTCGCGGCTGCTTGTGGCTACTCTCGAGTGGAGCAGCTCACGATCCTGGGCCTCACCCTCGACTTTGGGCGTGAAGGTGCTGCTGTGCCTGCCGCTTTTGCTCTTTGCCACGTGCGGCGCAGGCTGAGGCTTGTGGCAGTTCTCACTCGCAATTTCATTGCTCGCCGCGCGTTGTTGCGCCGCTTGGTCATGCCGATGATCATTTGGGCCGGTGCCTTCGGGGTCATTTCGGCCGAGGATGCGCGGGCTCTTAGACAGGACTTTCTGTTCAGGGTGGGATCCGCGACGGCTCGGGACAAGGCCATGCCGCTCTGTCTGGCAGTGCTGGGCTATGAGTGCGACCCGTGCTTCATGAGGCACTGGTCGGTGTTGCAAGAGGTGGTCAGGCTTCGCACTGTCACCCGCGCCTGGCAAGACACGGCGCCGCTTTCGGTTGCGCTGAGGCCTCTGGTGCAGACTTTGCCGGTGGTCACTTCGATCCTGCGTGAGCTTGGCTGGCAGCTTTCTGCTGATGAGAGGAGTCTGCAAAGACGCGACGTGCTTGGTGTTTTGCGCAGCTTTCGCTTTGGCTTTGATAGTCGTCAGGTTCTCCAAACTTGGCTTGCAGACTTCCACCGCCGTGCTGACGTCAAGAGCTGTGGGAGGATCAAGATTGATTACCACCGGGCCGATCAGGGCCTTGCGAGAGGACCTTCGTTGCCGGTCCCTGCGGATCCGCTGTGCCTTTTTGCCGGCCATCACAAGCTCTACGGCGCTGGCTCTTTGGCTCTGGACAAGCTGTGCCTTGGCCACGGCTGCTCGGCGTGGGACAGGCAGAAAGCCCAGCGACTTGAGGAGTTGCCGACGTGCGCGTGTGGGTTGGAGGCCCCCAGCAGGCCTCACTTGTTGTGGGCGTGTACTCACTTCCCTCAGTGCACTGCTGCTGTTGGCGCTCCGTGTGATCGCATCCAGGAGCGGTTGCTCGGCTGTGCTGTTCCCGAGTGGCCGGCACCGCCGCCGGTGTTGGACACCGCTGAGGTTGTCGAAGACTTGGCCGAGGCTTTGCGCGCCGCATGGTCTCCCGAGCGGCCCTGGCTTTTCGTTGCGACCGATGGCTCCTGTCAGGCGGAGGTTGCCTCCTACTCCGTCGTCCTCGACCAAGGTGCTGAGGTCGCTGGTGTTGAGGGTGAGGATCAGACGTCGTACAAGGCCGAGCTGAGTGCTTTGGCTTTGCTCATCCGGGCCGCGCTCTGCCTGGAGCTCGTTGGCACTTTGTGGGTCGTCGTTGACTGCAAGTCTTTGCTGGACGCCATTGCTGGTCGCGGGGCGCTTGGCTCCTTGGTGATGCAGATCTCAGCTGGCATTGCTGTGCTTTCCTCCAGGGGTTTGCAGGTGAAGCTGGAGTGGGTGCCGAGCCATGGCAAGCCTCTTCCTGCTGGATGGGTCGCGGCCTCTGGCGCTTCTGAGGCTTGCTTGAGGGCGCTCAATGAGCGCGCTGACCATGTCGCTCGGCGTCACTGCGGACGCCGATGCCAGCACTCTGCTCGCTTGCGGTGCCACGCTGCGCGTGAGGCCGCACTTCGCTTTCCAGTGGGACGCTGGGTGATTGATACGCCCAGGCGGCTGGCAGGACTTCTTCCGAAGGCATCCTACTGGTCGCATTAACACAAAAGAGAGTCTGCCGAGCGCATGCGCGAGAGACCCCTCCCAGAGGGGCATGCGGGCCACCATTGGTGGTGCGAAGTTCTCTCAGAGATCTGCTGCCGTGTCATCTTCCTTTTCTTCTTCATTGGCAGCATTGTTTGCAATTCGATCGGGCATGCTATCAAGGGCTGCCCGCACATGCAGTTCGAGGGCTTTGGTGAGGCCCGTGTCATTTTTTTTTCACCCACAGCGTCCTTTCCCAAAGGTCGCCTAGTGTAAGGCCTGACGGACGTGTTGTCCGGAAGCTCTTGGCTTCGGCGCTGTGCCCGTGTCTGGACACCAAAAGCAGCACAGCTGA